TGACCGTCATCACGTTGTGACCGATGGGGTTCCTACAGCTGTAGGCGAGCGTGCGTACGTTGAACGTGCGGAACGATAGGTCGCCCTCTCGTACCTTCTTCGCAGCCGCCTTGACGGCCGCTGCGGTCTCGTGTCTCTCTCGGTCCACCTCGCGTTGCGGGTGTGCTTTCTTCCGTATTTTCCGAGCGGCGACTTTCCTCGCATCAATCCATCTCTGCAGAGCTCGGTTCTTGCCTGTGGTGTTTTGCCGAGGAGGGTGCAGCACTCCCTCCCCGCGGTGCCCGCGGTTGTCTCCCTTCTCCCGCGAGCGGTGCTTACTGACGTGGTGTTTACGAATCTCTCTACTCCACCAGCTTCGTGGGCCACGCTTTCCGCGACGGTGGTTGCCAGGTGCAGTTTGCCGCTTTACATTACTGCCGCGGGAACAGTGTCCATACACACCTCTCGCCACTACCACCGTCTGTGCATCCTCACCGCCACGCTGAGCCAGCGCGGCGGTGAGTTGCACCTTGGGACACCACCCGCCTACTATCTGTTGTGGCCTGATTCGCCCGCGAGGGACTCACTAGGTCGATTTCGGCGCCGAGGCCGAGGGGGGGAAAGTTTCAGTAGGTGTGTGAGCACACCAAACTTTGACCGGCCATATCTCCTTCAAAAAAACAAATTCGGAAAAAAAAAAAGTCCTGGGTGCAGGTCCAATTCGCCCGAATCCGTGGAGTTTTTCGAAATCTATCGGTGCGTTTCTCCCCAAAAAACATAACTCTGAGGCCACTTGGAATGATGTTTTTTGCCCGTTTCTCCGTGATATCCCAGCGAAAAAAAGTTGAGTTGGGTCGCCGCGTACCCCTCGACGTGATATATACGCTCAAAACCGGCCTTAAAAAATAATTGGACCTCACACTCGAGCAAAAAAAGCGTAACAAAACCTGGCAAAATCTCGACGGAATCGCGATTTTCTCGCCAACAAACAATAAGAAAAAATCTGCTCCAATCAAACGATCCGCCTGAAACCGGTGCTTACTGACGTGGTGTTTTGTTGCTAGGGGGTACGCCAGTCACTCAGAATAAATTCCGGAGTGATTCCAGGAAATCGTGGGAAAAATTAACCGGCTAAAGTGGTAATTGTCAAGGACCCGATTTTGGTTGTCCCTCCATAACTTTTGACTGAGATCGAATAAGAAAAAAAAAGACGGTTTTGGAACGCCCGCAGGAAGGCACAAAAGAGTAGCGAGTCGCCAGAACAAAGAAAAAAAAAGTGCTCGCGGCGGGTCTCGAACCCTCGACCCAGGCCCTAGAGCAGCCTTTTACTCATATATTTCTTACAGCGGATTATTATTTTTCTCGCCAAACCACCTACACGTGTACCGGAAGACCCCCAACCACTTCACAAATGCTTCTGCCGCGCCTAAAGCGTGTTTTTATCACCCGCCAACGTACTTCCGTTGTAAATATTGCCTATTTTCAACAAAAACATAATTTTTTTGTACAACATTCCCTCCGGAAAACATGGGGAAAAACCTGAAAAAGTTCACCTCAACGAACAAGAATGNCTTCTGCCGCGCCTAAAGCGTGTTTTTATCACCCGCCAACGTACTTCCGTTGTAAATATTGCCTATTTTCAACAAAAACATAATTTTTTTGTACAACATTCCCTCCGGAAAACATGGGGAAAAACCTGAAAAAGTTCACCTCAACGAACAAGAATGCGCCATCCATCTACTGCCTCCATTCCTTCGGGGTCGGGCGCCTGTGTGACTTGTATTTCTTGTACGTCTTCTTGCCTTCAGGCCCTTCCACACGCGTCTCGCGGTACATGAGGGCGTGTGTGTATGCCTTCTTGCATTAGCCCTGGACTACCGGAACAGCCTGCCTACCCTTCTCTGCTCTGAACCTTAGCGGCACGTTATTGCGCAAGCATTCCAACGAATACGTGCAATTCTTGCAAGTCCAGTCCTTCGCCCGTCCCCAAACAAGTTCGATGGGGTTACACTCGCAGTGGTACTTAGGAAGCATGAGACAGGCCCCCCCGTGGCGCTGCAATAATAGCACCAGACAAGAATCAACTTCCTTAAAGTCTTTCTGCTCTCCTAGAACGTGCTCCATGCTCTTGCTGAGGTCCTTCTTGTCGCCTGAGCCCCCGGTCTTACTCATGCCTTTGACCAGGAGCCCCCTCTCACACAAGATCTGCCGCATTCCTTTCAGCTTTCCGACATACTCGGCCGGCCGGAGATGCGGGGAATGGAAGGGGGGGGCGTCTCCCCTCCGGAACGTCAAGTGCTGTATCGTGCCCGCTGGGAGGTTCGGGGTGTCTTCGAGGATGGTCACGGGGTCCATCGGCGCAAGCTCTTCTCCGTTCCTCACACCACCGACGCCCAAGTCCATTCTCTTCACCGACGGTGCGCCGGCCTCCATGCAATCATGACAGGACGACCAGTCGAACAGGCCTACAGGCTTGTGCTCAGGGTAGAGAACTGTGAACACGTCGAGCACATCTGCCATGTGGTCCAGCATCTTGAGCCCGGTCAAGTATCCCTCCTTGTTCTTGCCGTACTCGAAGAGGTGGTAGGACCAGTACCGTCCGTGCTCGTCTTTGTGCAGCATGTCGATAGGGCGGAACTTCTCGACTTTCACGTTTCCCCCCGCCGCTTCGCGGCAACTGAGGCAGCGCATCGTTTCCTGCGGTTGCGCTCCGCCTCCTTGATCTGTTCCCACCATGCCGAGAAGAAGCCGAGGTTGTGGATGATCGTCCCCGACACTATGATCCCCTGGCCTTGTGACTTCTTGACGGGCACGTGCTGGCCGTCCCGCTACCACGCGTACCTCTGGTCGTCGTTGGCTGCAAATTCGAAAAGGACACCGATAATTATGGGCGGCGGGTGTGGCATTGTGAACATCTCTGTGGTCACAGCCCCGAAAATATATTGAATTGCGTGCAACATTACTATTCACGTCCGGAATAAATTTACAAATAAGTCGCGCCAACTTTCTCTGTTTAAATTAAATATAATAACCTCGAAATATGCTTTCGTCCTGGTAGAGAAGCATGGCCCGCCTCCCTTCGGGGTAGGTTTTCTTGCTCTGCACTCTGGCTTGCAGGTCTGCGGGCAAGTCTGCCAGCGCTGCCTCGAGATCATCGACACCAACCCAGACACCACAATCTGGCAAGCGCTCAGACTCCCCCACCGCATCAACATCAATGCCCCAGGCGACCGCTTCCTCTTTGCCCATTGGAATCCACACCTCCATGTAGTCGCGGGTCTCTAACAGCGCCGGCAGGAACTCGTCGTGCCGGTACGCTAGGGTCTTCTCGTCGTCGTGGCCATCGAAGAATAGACCCTTATTTGCCGTCGTGGTATTCGCATCCCATCTTCTTCAGCCACTCTGTTGCCNCTGGCAAGCGCTCAGACTCCCCCACCGCATCAACATCAATGCCCCAGGCGACCGCTTCCTCTTTGCCCATTGGAATCCACACCTCCATGTAGTCGCGGGTCTCTAACAGCGCCGGCAGGAACTCGTCGTGCCGGTACGCTAGGGTCTTCTCGTCGTCGTGGCCATCGAAGAATAGACCCTTATTTGCCGTCGTGGTATTCGCATCCCATCTTCTTCAGCCACTCTGTTGCCGTGGAAAGGGAGATTTGGTGCCTTGGCGGCTCGTTCTCCTTCCCTTCCACCAGGTTTATTCTCAATCCATGGAAAGGGTCGAAGTCCTCCGTGGGTTGCGCCTCCAGCATCGGCATGATGGTGCTGTTCACCCACTTGCGGGAATCCCCCGCCGTCTTGTTGGCTTGCCCGCTGAGTATACCGCAGTTCTCGAGCGCCCAGCCTTTCGCGAGCCTCGAGACGCCTTCGTCGAGTTCTAGTAAAAACCGGCGCTTGAAGCGACCTGTGTCAGGTGGCTTGATGCGTCCGCGCGCGATGAAATCCCGCTCTCCCAGCTGTACTGTTGGAACACTCCTCCGTCCAACCTCTGCTGCGATGGCCAGTGTATCCTCCCGGTCGACCCCGTTGAGCTGCTGGGTGTACAGCTGGATCAATGTCATGNCTAGTAAAAACCGGCGCTTGAAGCGACCTGTGTCAGGTGGCTTGATGCGTCCGCGCGCGATGAAATCCCGCTCTCCCAGCTGTACTGTTGGAACACTCCTCCGTCCAACCTCTGCTGCGATGGCCAGTGTATCCTCCCGGTCGACCCCGTTGAGCTGCTGGGTGTACAGCTGGATCAATGTCATGGCCACCTGGACCATGTGCGCCAGCATGTAGTTGGACAAAACGCTCTCTGCCGCGTTGGTGTCCTGCGCGAAGGGGGGGTGTCGAGGGCGGCAATAAATCTTTCTATTTTCAGTAGCCGAATTGTTTGACAGCAGTGTTCTGACAGCAGTGTTTCTGACAGCAGTGTTTCGAGTGTATTTTTTTTAGCTGAGAATGCAGGTTGGTCAATAAATTACTCTGACGGTCGCAGCCGGAGCTCGGAGGGGGTGGTGGCGCCCTACAAACTCCGCCCCAATCAAGCCCTGTTGACAAATAAAACAGCAGTGCATATCACAGAGTGTAGACCCAGGTTCGAGCACGGCAAGCTGAAGAAGAAAAGACTCACACGTTGATCATAAATGCCGCTGTAAATTGCTCACATCTTCCATCTCTGCTGCTGCGCTGATCGACTTCACCGCATCCTTCACGACGAGGTCGAGCGTCTCGACACTCTCAGCGCGAAACTCGTCCGCCGCTGCCGCGAGCAACTGGGTTCTCATCTCCGCCCCTTTCGCACGCCTAATCTTCTTCGCGGCTTGAGATGTATTGTACGTGCCCTTGTTCAGATATTTCTCCTTCGCGTCCTCGGCCCACTCAGGTTTGAACTCTATCCAAGCCCGCACGACTTCTTCCAGGCTGCTGGCAGACAGGTTGAACGCCCCAGGAACGGCGTCCTGTAGCTCTTGGCGCAGTGTCAACGCCCGCGCCCGCTGGGCAGCCCTCCCCAACGATCCAGAGGGTCGTCTGGCGTCGTCACGTCGTCCGCCCCATCTCGCGATCTTCCCGCACCTGCAAGACCAGGTTCTTGCAGTGAACAGATGGCCGGGGCTGCGGTTCTAACTACGCACTCCCGCGGAGCTCTTTTTTTGAAGGGTCTTCCAGTCAATAGCAGTAACATTGTCGAGGATGCTTCTCTCCGCGATGGCGTCGCGGCCGCGTGGCTTTCCAGACGTGATCCAGCCGCTCCGCCATTTCAACTCATTGCTGTCGCCCGACCTCGCGTACAGCACTACACGGTACTTTCGTGGCTTCTGTCTATCGGTGCTGAGTGTGTTGCGCAGCTTGAGTCCGTCAGGAACTGACTGCCGTAGGGCGGAGATCATCTCTTGCTCGAGCTCCATTCGGTTGCCGGTCTTCACAACAACATGTGTACACCTCCCATGTGCGGTGTCAGCTGCTGCCCAAACCAACGGTCGGGCCGCATATATATATATATTTTTTTTTTCTAAATATGACACAACGAGTCCATCTCTATCATAGAAAAGAGTCAGAGACAGATTAACAATGGAATGATAGCGTCAGAGAAAACTACCTGTGTGTCTACGATTACCCAGACAGCATATAGGGACAACTCCCCTGTGGGTAACAGGCTCAACAAATCAGTTTGGTAAAATTTTCTTCTTGATTGATTTCGACCTGGAGCCCGGCAAAACCGGGTTCAGAACCAGGTGATCTAGAACCAACTTTTGGCGAGGATTCCAAAAATATACATGAAATAAATACACGCACAGAGAGACTACCCATTCGAGATATACCCACAGTCGAACGGGATGTGGTGGAGTCTTTTCAGTAACTGGAGGAAAACCGGCTGGGTACTGGACTTATTTCGAGTCTTTACAAGTCTATACACTGATGATTTATCAGTGATGCCAGCTGGTGCTAAGTACAAAAACATCTGTATGGGTAAATAAATCTACATTTTACAATACATCCCCTGTATGTAGTTCTCTACTGGGTCAACGATAAAATATCGGGGAGAATCCCTCCGTAGTGTGTCGTATACTGTAAGATGTAACCTTCACAGGGGACACGGCGCAGTGTCTATTGACAGCTTGCTGGTTTTAGGAATTTAAGGAGAAATAAATAATATTGATGTAAAAATCATGGAAGATGAAAAGAGGGCTACAGCAGCAGTACATCACTCGTTTTTCAAACCTATGGATTTTTGAATTTCACGGGCAGCAGGTGTTCCCGCCGTTTTTTTGAATTTACAAAGAAACTTATTTGACAATTTGGGGTAGCGTATCAGTGATGCTTACAGTAGAAGAGAATGGTACACCTGGTGCATGGTAGGTACGGCATAGCGTTCAGTTTGTATCGTGTTAGCTGGTTTCCTGGTATGTTTGGTCTTGGTAATCAGCATCAGTAGAGCACGGAAAGTGTTCAAATGATATACATCCAATGTGGCGATTGTTGTCAACTTCCCTGGTGTTCCTCAGAGCGGTTTGCCGAGACATCTTGTCGCAACCATGTCTTAATCCCGTTGAAGAGCATCCGTCATGAAGGTCAGCAGTAGCAGCGAGTGGCAGTTGGTCTCTCCGTGTGGAGCAGTGGTGTGGACATGTTACGGAGTACGGCGAAGGATACAACACGTAGAATTACCCACAACAACATATTCGCCTGATTGAGAGCGTAGCATCTGATTGAGAGCGAGATTGCGCGATACGCTGTAGCCGGACTACCACTGAGAGGTGGAGCTTGCTGTGTAGCTTGAATTGAAGGGCTAGCCCGTAGCTTCAAGCCGCTACCCTGGTCATCCTGTGGGAGTCTCTCGTTGTGGAGCTACAGCGGGGAGCAGAAGCTACAGCAGAGCCCACCGCCCGACGCGATACCGCCCTGAAACAGTTTGAGCAGAAATAGCCAATCTGGGCAAATCTAGCAACTTGTCTAGCTCCTCGCTGCAGCATCCGATGACGATGACACGCATATGCTCGCGAAGCTGCTGATGAGACCTTCAATTTGCACCGCTTCTTGGAATAGCCCGTCCCCTACTTGCCAAGAAATGGCAAGAGGCGTCTGGACCCGAAATTTCAATTTTTTTGGCTCTCGCTCTCAATCAGATACTTCGCTCTCAATCAGGCGAATATGTTGTTCCACCTGGATACACAGCGATCAGCAGAGAAGACGATGTGTTCCAGCCGCGAGGTCAATATGGGAGAGCACCTTTGCACGAAACCCGATACAGCCTTCCCGCCTTGCCTCAAGTCCTATCGGAGGGGCTATTTATGTGGTACGACGGCAGGGATCCGAATGCCGGCTGCTCCGAACACAATGGGAGGCTTGCGGTAGGGATCAAACTGGGAATGTGCGAAAGGGGCTTCCCGACCATGGGCTCAACTGCAGATTTGGAGGCCATCGAGGTGTTGTATTTTCACCTGGTCATGTGACGTCATTTGGTCTACGTTTTAGAAGAAATTTCACTTGGTCATGTGACGTCATTTGTGGTCCGAGATTAGAAGAATTCGGTTGCATGCAGCAATGCAGCAATGATATTTTGCAAGGGACACGGGTCACTGTGTTCCCCCTTGCTAATGGATAATTGGGCAACTCGTTGCCGTTCTTATCCATCATCCATTACTCTACTGTTAAGTGTCCTAGTTTTGATGTTTCAAGTTTTATTTTCTCGGGATTTCCTGTAAGAACTCATCCACACTGCATGTCCTTTCTTGCAAGGAGTACCCAATAAAACCGTGAGCTCCATTCAACCATCCTCATGTCTTCAAGTAGCACATTCAAATCAATCATCACGTCTTAATTGATACCACAGTTAGACCTCGAGATTATAAGTTTTTCAGGGCGAAAAAATGTCCTTGGTCGCTAGCCGAATAGACCTTTTAAAACATTTTCCAACCAATCAAAACAGCAGGATGGGCGGACACGTCACAATATTTTGGACAAGCCCGAGACTTCTTTGTCACCACATGCACGAGCTGGGTACAGCTCACTCTCTGTGCATTTCCGCCTGCCAGAAGTCCGGTCACGGCACCGCCGAATGCTACACATCCGCTCCTCTTCGTTTTCCAGCATCCGCGCTTGCTTCTTCGCTTCTTTCTCTGCCGATTTTTGCTTTGCGGCAAGCTTGCGCTTCACCGCAGCCGCCTGTTTCAGCTTGTTGACGTGAGCGACGCATATTCGCTTCAAGGCAGGGTAGTCCTTGTCCTCGAGAGCCTTCAAGCGGCGCGCATCAACTCCCGCTTGGGAAAACGTGATACCAGTTCGCGCCATAACGTTTTCGCCCTGTTCCTTGAAGCTTTTTCTTCTCCTCCCCTTTGTCCATTTCTTTTTGCGTCCAGCGGTGCCCATGAGAGGCTTTGAGGCGTTTGCAATCTCTCTACTGCAACAGCTAGGATCGGGATGCGGTTGGTTGCGGTGTGTGCGCAAAACCCAAAGGAAGCGATCACCCGGTTCAGTTTTTCGAACTCAACGGGAAAAAAACGAGAAACCTGGCCAAAGGCCTTTAAAATCCAGTATAAAACGTATGTTCTCAGTCTTCCGGGGTGCAGACAAAAAATCCAAACCGGGTGATTCATAGAGTATGATCTGTAGACAGGTGTTGTAAAGGTTGAAGCGCTAACTCTCCACCTGGGGCGAGCACTTTTGATTGTTGAATCCCGGTCTCAATCCAAGATTATAATATTTCGGCCACCGAGTCAGGAAAAAAAAAATGTTTTTTGGGCTGGTTGTTATGCCGATATTTGCTGGTCGTTAGCGGTCTAATCTCGAGGTCTAACAGTGGCTACCTGCGTTGATACCAACATCGTTGGTTATCTGTACTTCCTTTGACAATATACATCCTGTCATTTTGCTCTTAATCTACCCTTGCCCCCACAAGTCAAGAAAATAAAAGTCATAAATCGACCGCATGGTAAACAACATACTAAATCTTACGTTCTACTTGATACCAAAATTGTATTCTGGCTTCTGTACGCCAAGAATCCCTAACATGTATGCGTGATTTCCTAAAGAAGACCTGACGGAAATCGTGTAGCTTAGTGCCTAAAAGATTCGCCTTGTAATGGTGTGTTAACATANCGAGCACTTTTGATTGTTGAATCCCGGTCTCAATCCAAGATTATAATATTTCGGCCACCGAGTCAGGAAAAAAAAAATGTTTTTTGGGCTGGTTGTTATGCCGATATTTGCTGGTCGTTAGCGGTCTAATCTCGAGGTCTAACAGTGGCTACCTGCGTTGATACCAACATCGTTGGTTATCTGTACTTCCTTTGACAATATACATCCTGTCATTTTGCTCTTAATCTACCCTTGCCCCCACAAGTCAAGAAAATAAAAGTCATAAATCGACCGCATGGTAAACAACATACTAAATCTTACGTTCTACTTGATACCAAAATTGTATTCTGGCTTCTGTACGCCAAGAATCCCTAACATGTATGCGTGATTTCCTAAAGAAGACCTGACGGAAATCGTGTAGCTTAGTGCCTAAAAGATTCGCCTTGTAATGGTGTGTTAACATATCTCTCATCAACTTAGCTGCCGCTCGCTCAAAATATTCAACACGTGTACAACGAACTGCAAATCTACACAACTGACTATGTAATACAGCATACTTCGAATGATAACTAGTTTTAGTCTCAATGTGGGGGAATCGGCGATACGACTTCAGAGAACTCATCGTGTCTCGTTTATCATACATTTGCACTTGAGAGCCTGCCAAGTCTTGGACTATTTCCATATCTTAAAAGTGCGCACTATGTCCTACTTGTTCCTGGATCAACTCAATACTGTTAGGGATGAGATTGCCGTCTCCATCACCAATCAGTCGGTCATACATTCCTCCTAACGTTTCACTCATGCCTATGCCAAGTGGATCGTACGGAGCATCACCACCATATATGACATCCTTAAGTCTCAAACCATTGGCTTGTGAGGCCAAAGTGNTTAAAAGTGCGCACTATGTCCTACTTGTTCCTGGATCAACTCAATACTGTTAGGGATGAGATTGCCGTCTCCATCACCAATCAGTCGGTCATACATTCCTCCTAACGTTTCACTCATGCCTATGCCAAGTGGATCGTACGGAGCATCACCACCATATATGACATCCTTAAGTCTCAAACCATTGGCTTGTGAGGCCAAAGTGATAGTGATGATGTCATCAATATATCTCTTAGTCCTTACGCCATATTGTTCAATGAACACTCGAGGGTACATATAATGGGTACGACCACTATGTTGTGTTTCTCGGAACTCTGCAACCACCTCTTTATAAAACCTTTGTTCATGCATGTAAGCAAATATATTGGCAAAATCGGGTGCAGGTGAGGATCCCATGAATTTGCCAGAAGACTGGCGATACATATGAGGTCCAAACTGAACATAACCTTCCGTCAAAACAAGTTCACACCACTTGAAGAGTGTATTTTCTTTTTTCGCAGGGGTGGTGGGGGCCCGGGAAATCGAGATTTACTAGTTCCGCCGCGTTTTCGGTGAAACGGTATATTGGACATAACTCGTCACCAACATGTCTGTGAAAGCTTAAAGTAGGTTCATTCGAAAGCCCTGGTCCGTAGCTTTCCAATGGTGTGTATTTTATCGGGTAAATACCCTGGCTCCAAAGAAAACTCAATCAAGATGCCTGTGGGCGGGTCCTTGACAATTACCACTTTAGACTATACCAGAAAAGAAAGAAAGTCTCCACCAACTTACAACCGTAGCCATATGGCCACCCTGCCAGGGTGGCCAAAAAACCACCTTGCCAGGGTACCCGACCCTGTCAACGGCAGAAAGGTGAACCGGCTGCAAGGTCTATGCTGAACACCCTGGACGGGGTCCACCCTGCCAGGGCGGCTCGAATCGCACCCTGCAAGCAGTCAATATGCGGCCGCGATTTCAGTATTGTGTCTGTACTGGTACACTATGTTGTTTCATTTGCCATCTCGATCGCGGGACTCTTTTTTTTGCTTCATGTTCATTCATCATCGTCTCGTGGCTTAGCCGTGCGAAATACAGAACGCGCCGCCACTTTAAGAACTTGAGCCTAAAGAAATCCAAAACCTAAGAACTTGGCTTTCAAGACAAGTGCTCAAGCAAGATATATATCTACATCTAAACCTGTATAGTCACTATGGTGATACCCCGTAGACAAAACAAGAAACAAGCCTCGGCCAAAAAAATAGTTTTTTTTAGTGGTTGCGCGTTATTATGCACCCGCTTTGATCCACGACCGTCCAGCAAAACACGACATCTTGTAACCATGATAAAAATTACAAAGAGGTCAGGACACACGGTGCACATCACAGACAAACAACGCTTCCCTGTCTTCTCAAAAACGGCACCCAAGCATTTGTAATCCGCTCCATCCCGCTCGAGCCGGCAATCTTTGCAACGTAGTCTATTGATCTATGCTCCACGAATGGCAAAAAATACCGTGTATCGTATGATGTTCTTTGCCATCCACACGCAATACTCGGTTGCGCCCTCTCCCCTGCCGGACGAAATATCAACTACATCCGTTCCAACTTACGCACGTACCTGCCGGTTGGTTATATTTACACAGACACATAATAGTAGTAAACCACCACATCGCGATATTGGGCTAAAACCTGACGAATATGCTGACCAAAGGCAATCTACGGCTGGGAGATAGTCAACCGCCACACAAAGCGCCACGCCCGAGAGTATTCCCAACAAATTTGCAACCCTGCGCGGAAGCTCAACTTCATGAGGAAGGAATGAGTGCTCACAACACTCGGCCTTCACTTGATGTCGTCGACGAATAGGCCCGAGGTCGGCAAGGTCGAAGTGCACGTCTTCGAGCAGTGTCTCATCACGATGAGGTTACCCTTCCCGTCCGCAAAGAAATAGGGAGAGGAAGCGCATGATTTCGGGTTTTCCATACTCCGTGAGGATGGCGGAGGCATGGCGACGAGGGCGCCATGAGCTGGCGTGCAGCATGTCGCACAAGAATCGTGGCCAAACGTATCGAAGAGAAGGGCAAACCACGGGTAGGCAGATGGGGTGATGAGCCAAAGAAACATGCGTATTCCGTTAATAAGCGAATCTTTCGACGCACGTCCAGGATGCGAAAGATCATTTCTATGCTGCGGCGGAGGTGAAGCAAAAGCTGTAGATTGCCGAAAGGCATAGTCGACGGGTGTAGATATTTTGCGTTCGTCCCGGGGGGCTGGGCAATCTTCGATGCCGACAACTACTACCCTACGGGTGGTGGAGAGGTTGCTCATTTTTGCGGATCAAGAACGCCGGGAGGGGATTTCAACGTGTTTCCCACTTTTCCGCCGGATGAGCGGGGTATTCGAAAGGGTAGTCTAGTGTTGAAACGATTGTAGATGCTGAGGCATATATCTCCACAGCAGCAGTTCGGAAACGACGACTATTTTTCCTTTGTCGTGTTTTTTGTTGCTGAGCGCACATCGGATGTCGCCGTCCGTTACACGTGTTTAAGCCTACGGTGGGACAAAGGGACGACAGTGAGTGCCTTCTCGAGAGTTCATGCCTTGTCTTTTCGAGTCTCTCTTCCTTTAGTCTACCTCTCTCTCTCTGCCGCATTTTCGCCGTTAGTGTCCCAACATCGAACGTCAACAGCAACCGTTTTGCGTCTTGCTGAGTAGGAGGCTATACCCGTGTACCCGGCTGCTGCATGTGAGGCGATGGGCGCCGCCTCTTTCCGTGTGCGCATGGCCCCTAAGGTTTGCCGCACATGCAGTGTTGTGCGACAGCTTCCAACGTTTCAGAGCGGCGACGGTGTTTTTTCGCCGGTGGGGCTCGAGAACATCGCGAACCGCCACTCACTGTTTCATTGTTTTGGGGTCCCCCACTCACCCACCCAAGAATTTCAACAGTTTTCGCTGGGAGGATGTTTTTTTTCTCATGTCCATGATGACGTGGTGGCCCAAGCGAGTATGGTTCGGTAGGGAACCGCAAACCATAAACCGTCCCCGAGTTTGAGCATCAGCTTTGGCCTCCTGTGACGGACAAGTAGACCGGAATTTGTCTCGCCATCCAAATAACAGTTGGCCAGTTGAAAAAAAGAGGGTCCGGTCCGTCAACGATTTTGTTTTTTGTGTTTCCCTGCCGACTAACAATAACCTCGGCTACGGCAGTGCAAGTCTAATGGCGCCTCAAGCACGGTTCCGTAGGGAACTGAAAATCACGACCCCTCCCCGACTTTGAGTAGCTTCCACCTCCTGCGGTGGATAAGACCGACGTCAAATCCTAGATTTTGTCTGTCTGTGTCGCCATGTCGC